AGTCGGACCTTGTTGAGAAGCCTGCTTCTCCAACTCAGGTGGAGCGTAAGGAGTTACCTGAAGAGGCTGATGGAGAAGTGCCGTCGAAAGGGGAAGAGGAGTCGGGCCTTGTTGAGAAGCTTGCTTCCCCGACTCAGGATGATCACAAGGAGCTACCTGAAGAGGCTGATGTTGAAGAGCCGGCGTCATTGGTTGACCTTGTAGAGAGTCTTACTACCGTTGGAGGTAGCGAAATCGTGAAGGGATCGGAATCCAAGTTGGCTGCTACCGTCACTTAGGATCCCTCCGGTTCGAAGGAAAACGCGATTTGATCGCCTTTTGTTGTATTACTATTTACCTTAGGGATTTCTTGTTTTTTGTTTTCTGAGGCCCTGCTGGGTCCTTCCCTGTTGTAAGACGTTGTAAGACTTCTAATGATAAAAAGCGGTTAAGTTTTTGAAGGTTATCCAAATTTCACCGATTATTTACGCACATAAATATTCCTGAAAGAAAGGTTCCAGAGGAGGAAAGAGACCTCGAGTTGGCTTTCTCGAGACTCGCTTTCACCGATTATTTACGCACATAAATATTCCTGAAAGAAAGGTTCCAGACCGGCTACTTGATGACTTAACGAGTTTAGTCGGCCAAAACGTTCATTCGTTTACTCAGATAGCGGTCTGGATTTCCTTCGCATGTCGATCCTGGTGGGATGCGACTTTGAATCCCTCAACCAAGTGTCTGATCAGGACATGACTGATTCGTGGGTGCGAGTATCTGTGTCCTCGTCTGCAGACGAGAATGTGGATATCGCCTTGACCGTGTTTGGTCGTTACAAAGTTTGGACTTTGGTGTTGTTACGACTGCACCTGATTAGGGCTGCCTACGTACCTCGAAAGAGGATCAAGCCGTTCGTAGTTCGGTTTACCCGAGCAAAAGTGGCTGTTTTAAGGCTCATTTACTCGGGCGAGTAGAAGTGACAACTAGGGTGCATCTACTCGTTTGTTTTTGGTTGTTGTTACAGCTGGACCGATTAAGGCTACCTACGTACCTCCAAAGAGGATCAAGCCGTTCGTAGTTCGGTTTATCCGAGCAAAAGTGGCTGTTTTAAGGCTCATTTACTCGGGCGAGTAGAAGTGACAACTAGGGTGCATCTACTCAGTTTTTTTTTTTTTTTTTTTTTTTTGGTGGAAGTGATTGTTATCATCTAAGTTTACTCGGTTGGAAGGAAGTAGACAACTGTTTTACGAATAGTAACGGCGAAGATGCATGGAGTTCCATGCCCTTGGGATGTCTTCGCCGTGCGAGGTTTGAAGTCGGTAGACGCCTGGTTTGATGACCTTGATGATTTTATATGGTCCTTCCCACCGTGCGCCTAGCTTGCCAGCATTGAGCTCCTTGGTGTTCTCGAATACCTTGCGGAGTACAAGGTCTCCGAGCGCGAGCGGTCTTACCTTGACTACTTTGTTGTAATAGCTCTCGATTTGGTGTTGGTAGTTCTGGATCCGGAGCAATGCTTGATCGCGACGTTCCTCCAGTTCGTCAAGCGCATTGAGAAGCATGTCTTTATTGAGCTTGATGTGTTGTGGCATTTGGGAACGCCGGAGGCTAGAAACGTTAACTTCAGCTGGAGCCATGGCTTCGACTCCGTATGCAAGAGAAAAGGGGGTAGATTTAGTCGCTCCCCTTGGTGTCGTACGATGGCTCCATAGGACGCCGTCTAGTTCATCGGCCCAGTGTCCTTTCTTGAGGTCCAGACGTTTCTTGATGCCATCGACAGGCTCGTCGACCGACAAGGGAGGCTCTATGGTTTCCAGGCGCCGCGACTTGTTGGCTTGGAGTATGAGGCGGAGGTCTTTGCTGTTGACGTCACTGCATGTCGTCTCCTTTCGCTTGAGGAAGCTCCGCAGGTCGCTTGATACTGGCGAATTATCGTCTTCGTCGTCAGACGACAAAGGTTGCTGAGATCGTATTACCTCGATACGTTGACGACTTGCTGGTTGCCCCTCGTCTGCTGAAGATGCTTCGTTGTCCGCGTCATCCGATGATTTGTCGTCTGCACGACGTTGCTCTTCGTTTTTACTACCGGACTCTCGCTGCGCGCGTTTGTCCTTGTTCTTGGACCAACTCTTGCTGGATTTTGATTTTTGCTTTGGAGGCTGAACCTTGAAGTCGCCTTTTTCAACCGATGAGAGAAATTCGGCGTACATCGTCCTACACTCGGTAGTATCGTGTCCTTTGACGTCATGGTACTTGCAGTGTTTGGTGAGGTCGACTCCTTTAGAAGATCCTGCCCCTGAGGTAGCCGGCGACGCGGGTTGAGTCGGTCCGGCAGGGTTAGCCAAAGCTTTCAGGGCTGCCGTCTCCCTGTTGTACACGTTCCATGGCTCACCGCGTACTGAGAAGCTTGCGACTGGCGTGTTGTTCTCGTCAACGACAAACAGAAGCCCGCTTTTTTGTTGTTTCTTGTCGCCGGATGCGTGTTGACGCGGCTCCGGTTTTGCGTCGGAGGTCTTGGAAGTGGTCGGCTTTGCTGCGCCATGTTTGCCCATGATTGCTTTCGTGTCTTCCTCCATTCGGATGAAGTTGTGTGAACGAGCAATGGCATCCTGGAGCGTCGTGGAGGTGCTTCGGTACAGGTCCTCTCGGAACTTGGAGTCGAGATGGAGGGTGTTCATTAGAGCGTCGACGGCTATGTGGTCAGGGATATCGATCTTTGAGACGATCGACTTGAAGCGCTCCATAAAGTCTCGGAGACTTTGGTCCTTGGTCTGCTTTAGGTTCCACAGGCTGGAGGCTGTCGCTTCGCGCTTAGTGAACATGATATAGGTTTTGAGGAAAGCCGACGAGAGCTCTCTGAAGCTGCTGATGGAGTTCTCCTTGAGGCCTGAGAACCAGGTCAAGGCTTGGTCGTGGAGTGTTTCCACGAGTAGCGGACAGTATGCGGCGTCCTTTTCGTCATCGGGTAGTCGTGCTCAGGCCATCGCGATGTTGAAAGCCGTCATATGTTCTACGGGGTCACCGCCGGGTTTGTATTGCGGAATACGCAGCTTCTCGATCTTGCGGAAGTTTACGCTGGTCAACGTACTAGTAAATGGGGTACGCTCGGTTGAAGCGAGGACACTCTCGATCTGTGGAGCGGCGCTGGTAACCTTGTGAATCGTGGAGCTCATTTGTTGGAGGTTGAGTTTGAGCTCGGCGATTTCACGAACAGTCGTGAGATCTGGGCCGACTTGAGCTATTTCTGCAGGGTGCGGCTCGGTGGGTTCTGACTCTTTCGAGGTATGGTCGGCTACCGGCGCTGTCGGGTTGGTGTTGAAGAGATGACGTCGAAATGGTTGAGAGTTACTCGTCTGCCCGGCTGGAGCTGCTGTTAACGCTGCGACGAGCGCGGCGAGTTGCGCTTGAGTCTCCTTTTGGATCTCGTCTTGTCTGGCGAAACGCGCCATGACAGAGCTCATGAAGTCGGGCGGGAGGGGTGGTTCGAGTACGGGAGTCTGAGTCGGCTCCTCCCCGGCGGTTCCGGAGACGGTTCCGTCGTCTGGCATATCTATATCTGATAACGTTGCTTTGTTCAAGTCTCTTAACCTTGTGGTCGTGGGTTCGAACCTCGCACGGCGAAGATAATGAATTAGACCCATTTTAGTAGGAAGCCCTAGGCTCCATCCTTGTATAAATAAAGAGACATTTCTCTTTAGCATGGGATCCTTCTCTTCTTTGAGACTAAGAACACTTCTTAGCTATTGTATAGATTCACTTTACATTTGTAATCATTCATTGTAATGAATCATTTATCAATAAAATCTTTTTGATGTTCTATTCTCATTTGATTTCATTGATGATTTCTCCTAAGTCTCAAGAATCTAATCCTTAGATTCTTCATTATTATGAATTTGACAAACCGCCATTTTCGGTTCAAACAGTTGGCGCTAGAAGGAGGGGGCCAAGGAGAACAATCTTCAAAGCAAATCAGAGTTGGGAAGAACCCTAGATCAAGGTTTTTTAAAAAAAAAAAAAAAAAAAAGAGCTGAATCAAGATCAATCGACTATTTCCTTAGCAGCTCCTGAAGAAGGAGAGCTTTCTCACGAAGCCTTACGATCGATGTTACAAGATCCCTAAAAGTTTGAAACTTTATTCAAGAAGAAGAAGATGAACCAGTCACCTCGTCCTCATCATTCCGTCAGGACGGATCCCGACGATGGACCCATGAACTAACGACCAAGACCAGCTCCAAATCCTCAAGACCGGTGGCGAAGAACCTAAGCGGACCCGAAGATGAATTCCTTCCATTCCGCCGTTGTTGCTTTCCACTTGTATGGTCCTCGAGCTCTACTTCGTTGCTGCCGACAACAAGCCTGCCTTCCTTCTCGCCACAAGATTCTCCCTTTGGTTTCTCTCTGGACTAGACATCTCCGGCGAGATTCTTAACGAAGTCGCAGACCTTAGGAACCTGAAGTCTCTCCTGCTCAACATCAACTCTCTCTCCGGCGAAGAAACCCACAAAAGAGCCTCACGACTTGGACCTCCACCATCTCTTGCTTCGCACAAAATGAGCTTCCATGATGGTCTCTCGACTTCACTGTCACTCAGTGAAGACTGTGTACGAGCCCGATGTGTTCTTGGGCAACCCCAATGGTCGGTGGATAAAAACAAAAAAAGAGAGAAGCTTTCTCTTGAAAGCTTTGTTTTGGTGTCACCAAAGAGCCCAAGATTCTCATCACCTTCTCTTCTCGTCCTTTCACTTATCAAGATCGGAACAAACGTGAAACTTTATCCAAGAAGCTCACCGGCCACGATGGAAGAAGATGATCCTCATAAATCTTGCTACTTTGATTGAAGTATTTTCCAAAGAAACAGATCTCGGCTTCTCACCATCTTGGATAGCCGACTCATCTTGTCCCTTTGCGAAAGGTATACGGAAGGGGTCTTGAACAAAACTCATGGTCTGTCTCATTGACAATCACTGTCTTATTTCTTCCCTTAAGCTCTTGAAGAACTTGATACGCAAGCTCACCGGCAGAGCTCACAAGCTTGTTGCATCTGTCTCCTTTTGCTCGTTAAGCTTGCGACAAAGCTTAGAAACTTTGATCTCGGAAACAAAGTTCATGTCGTCATAGCTGCCGACACACCAAGCATCTCGTCTTGACAGTAAAGCTAGTCATCTCGTTCTCAACAATTGATCTCGGCAGTGCATCGAGATTCTCGGCCTTCTCGGCCTCTGGAGGCGAGAAGAGTTTGATTCTTCTTACACTCTCGGCAACAAGCTAAGGGATGATAAGAGTCCAATTCGTTATTCCCTTCTCGGCAACCACTTCCCAAGAAGCCACAACTTGAAACGGAGATATGACGATACCGAGGTTTTAGAGTGATGTCTACGAGAACGTCTTCACCAAGATACAAACAAAATCCGGCAACATCGAACACTTGTTTCTCCTTCATCCTCAAAGATAAGTTCTGTTATAAAAACAACCCCAAGCTGCTCATTCTTGTATTCACGTTACATAATTGAATTAGTTAGAATTATGAAATAGTATCCATTATTGCTATTGTGATGATAATCTTACTGATTAAAATTTGGGCATGGAGCGAGTCTTTGAACTCGTCTCATTTGCAGATCGAAATCAATGTTTTGCTTCTCCATCAAGCGAGCTCTCAAGACAAGTTCGCCGCTACCGGCATAAGCTCTCTGTCAATGAGACGAGAGCCTCTCACGATACCGCCATGGACAAAAGTGTCGAGCAGCTAATGCGTTCTCCCAAAATCATGTGATGATCTCGGTAGTAGCAGTCACAAGACGATCTCGGCAGTACATGCTTGTCGTGAAAAATACCACTCTTACAAGAACAGGACATGAGATGAAAACAAGCTCTGGATAACGCCAAGAACAAAAGCTCCCACTCTCTCTTTGACGCTCTCAAGCCCCACCAAGGACAGCTCATTGACGACTTGAGCTCTGTTTTTCAAAGGCTTACTCTTACCAACTTGAGCTCCAACATCAACAGAAGTAGCATGTATTTCATCTTCTTCATACTGATTCTGAAAAGTGGAGATTGCGACATCTCTCAAGGCATGCTCCAGCTTGGCACTGCCGCTGTTATGATTCCACTCAGCTGCACAAGCTTGATCACTGCAAAATCACTTGCCATCCAAAGATCACGTCATTACGCTGACTTCATTCACACACTGCAATGGTAACTGGTCCAAGACGTGTTATGATCTCAGCTACAAAGACCTGCCTCATCCATCTCGTCATCTCGTCATCTCGTCACAAGCTTCCATCTCGTCATCTTAGCTCAGCTTCAACTCACCACTTCTCCTACAAAGACGTCATCACCAAAAGAATCTGGATGGTCTTGGTGTAACCTTGGCGACGAGCTTAAGGTCCTCAGCATTCATGAGGGGATGTCACTCGTTCTCTGGTGAAAAGATTTGTTTCGGCAGTTTGGATTGCAAAAAAAGCGAGAATTGATCTCGGCGAAGCTCACGAGAAGGAAGATCTACATGAGAGATCAAATTCATCATCCTCGTTAAGAGTTGGGTCTATCGTCCTCGGCACATGAAGATTTTACGAGAAATCAATTCTTCCACAGAAAGCTAAAAGAAGGATTAATGGTCCATGGACTTTGCCAAATTCTTCACGGCCCAATAGCAAAGATGGCCCAAGAGGTCACACCGGAGGCTGTTGATCGCAATAACATATTCTTGACAAGGATAATTTGAGCTCCGCATCCGGCTTCTTACACGTGACCACCGTGACGTTTACAAAAGCTCTGTTAGCGGAAGCTTCTCTCCAACTTCCCAAGACATCGCGCCGACGTTCTTCTTGGCAAGAAGTCAAACCCACAACATGCTTCTCAACATCATCATAGTCTGACGAACATACAAACCAACAACTTGCTCGACATACAACGATCTCAACACGGGACTTTGGGTCAGCAATAGTTCGGTAAACTTGTATAGTAGGCACAATTTTAAATTGAACTTGTTTTTTATTAGGCACGAGTTTGCAATCGACTCGCTTATTGTTAGACACAAGTTTACAAAAACTCATCCTTGGCTAGGCATGAGTTTACATAATCTCTCCTTCTACTAGGCACGAGTTCAGTAAACTCTCCTTCGTCTCGGCATGAGTCTAGTAAATTTGTCTTTCATTAAGCACGAGTTCAAAGCGAACTCGCCTTTTACTAGGCATAAGTTCAAAGTAAACTCGCCTAAACCGTCACAGGCATGAATGTATCTAGTTCATTGTCTAATAAACCTATTCATAAAATTCACAGAGATCGACTTCGTCTCGCTCTATGAACTTAGGGGGACTTATTGTTGGGGGTGGATTTACATTTTTCCGCAAGGCCCATTAGACAATGAATTAGACCCATTTTAGTAGGAAGCCCTAGGCTCCATCCTTGTATAAATAAAGAGACATTTCTCTTTAGCAAGGGATCCTTCTCTTCGTGTTACACAAAAAAAAAAAAAAAAGGGATCCTTCTCTTCTTTGAGACTAAGAACACTTCTTAGCTATTGCATAGATTCACTTTACATTTGTAATCATTCATTGTAATGAATCATTTATCAATAAAATCTCTTTGATGTTCTATTCTCATTTGATTTCATTGATGATTTCTCCTAATCCTCAAGAATCTAATCCTTAGATTATTCATTGTTATGAATTCGACAAACACACCATTTTCGGTTCAAACAGTCATAAATTCCCCGAGAGAGAGAACTACTGAGCCATTTAACTACTTATATAGACATTCAAACTTTTTGGGGCATTATATCACACTGATTTTCATTACTTTGTGGTAATGTAAATTACATATTGGAGTAATGTAACCGATATTCATAGGATATAGGTATTAAACAATCCATATATAGTCTCTTTTCAAGAATTTTTAGTCCAAGAGTGAGAAATTTTCTTCTTTTAGCTTTAGAGGTAGAAGAGAAGGTAGGTTCCAGATATTTGAACTTAAGAATATCTCTGAACTTTTCCTTTATCAATATATTTTTTATTTTAAATAAAATGTTTGTTTCAGTTTGTCCAAAAATATGTGATCCGGTAAAACTTTTTTTTTATGGACAAGTCTTTTCCGTTTTGACAACAATAAGTACATCACAAAGCATAAGAGCAACTCCAATGGTGTTACTCACCATTGGAGTCCTTAAGATTAAAAAATGTATTTTTTTTTTTTGGAATAGTTAAGGATTCTAATCAAAAATAGCCGTCCAATGGTGTTATCCGTTATAGAGTCCTTAAAATTTTTTTTAATTTATTTAATTGTAAAACATTTAAACATAAAAATTTTATTTATTGAAAGAGTAAATGTTAACATACAATAACTAAACATCATCATCATTACCAAACTTGTTCCATATATTTTCGATCAAATCTTCTTTCAATTGATCATGTATATTCCAATCACGAACATGTTGCCGTCTGTCAAGCAAGTTACCGAGATTTGAAGGCATTTCGGTAGAATATGACATATCAACATGTGAACTTCTGCTCGAGGCTCCTTCTTCAAACTCGGATGTATCATACTGAGTGTATCCATCGCGTTCATTTTCTACTATCATATTATGTAGAATGATACATGTTCGCATAACCATACCTATTTGTGTCTTGTCCCACAAAACTGCCAGGTTTTTCACTATCGCAAATCGAGCTTGCAATACTCCAAAAGCACGTTCCACATCTTTCCGGGTTGCTTCTTGAACTTTTGCAAATAACTCTGCTTTATCACCCTGAGGGAGTGAGATAGATTGGATAAATGTAGACCATTTTGGATATATACCGTCAGTGAGGTAGTACGCCATATTGTACCGTTGGTGCTCGACCATGTAAGATGTCATCAAAACAGGAGATCGTTCGAGGACGTTAATATCGTTTAACGTACCTGGAGGACCAAAAAAGGCGTGCCAGATCCAAAGATCTTGTGAAGCTACAGCCTCCAAGACTATTGTCGGCTTTCCTGATCCGCGCGTGTACTGTCCTTTCCAAGCGGTTGGACAATTTTTCCACTCCCAATGCATACAATCGATGCTTCTATCATCCCTGGAAAACCGCGTATCTCTCCAATATCATGTAACCGCTGTAGATCCTCCAGAGTTGGGCTTCGTAGATATTCATCCCCAAATAACTGTATCACGGCTTCTGTGAAGTTGGTTAAACACGAAAGTGTAGTGCTTTCACCAATTCGAAGATATTCGTCAACGGCGTCAGCTGCGCAACCATAAGCAAGCATACGGATAGCTGCCGTGCATTTTTGTATTGGAGATAGACCTAACCGTCCAGTAGCATCTCTTCTCTGCTGAAAGAATCGAATATTTTCAGATAGGCGATTCATCAATACATAATTAGTTACTAAAATTTAATATTTTAATGATATACATAATTAGTTACAAAAATTTAACATTTTAATGATAGACAAAATTAGTTACAAAAATTTAACATTTTAATGATATACATAATTAGTTACTAAAATTTAACATTTTAATGATATCATCAATACATAATTAGTTACTAAAATTTAACATATTAATGATATACCAATTTTTTCAAATTCTTGGAACTCAACGTTTTTTTTAAATTCTTGGAACTCAACTTGAGTAGAAACGTTGAAGCCATGTTGTTATTTGTAAAAAGTATGGCATATACGAATATATATATATGACAACACCAACATCAATTGACAACACCAACATCAATTTATATATATATATATATGTATTACTCTCGGTGAAACTTTAAGACTATCATTTGAAAAACTTAATAAGTTCATTTCTAAGCTAAACTTATCAAGTTCATTTGAAAAACCTATAAGAAGAACAAAGTTGACTAGAAATTATACATTGATAGTCTTACCAAATAGAGTTTGAGTACAACAGAAGTTGGGATCTTACAATGATCTTGAGTACAACAGCAGCAAACACAAAAGAGAGAAATTTCTAGTACAACAAGAGCAAAGTAAAATAGCTCTTCAAAGCCGAGTCTACAACTTAATATAAAGAGAACAAGTAGCTAGAGAGAACCCGTGAGTTGGTTCTGTCGACGCGTGAAAACACAAAGAAAAAAACAAAGTAAACAAAGCAAAGCATCCCATGACCATCAAAGCAAAGTACAGCAAAGCATCCCGTGACCAACATCCACTGCCAACTCAACAACGGCTGTCTTGACCTGAAATAAAGAGTTACACGAGATTAGTAATCAAAGCAGCAATGTAAACTACACTTACTAGAGCACATAAGCAGCAACAGTAACACACCAACATTCATCGTATCATTTCAGCCATAAGTTTCTTTTTTAGAGCTAACTCCATCTCATCTAGTGGTTCGAGCTTTGTAAGCAAACTTTCAAGCAAGTTTTGTCTAGAGATTTGGTTTTTCATGGACAACAGCGCTTGTATCTTGGAGATTTCTTCTTCTTTTCCACCTTTCTTCTTCTTACCACCACTCTTAGCAGCTTTAACTCCCTCTGGTCTCTCTTCTGCCTCTGCCACTGGTTTGCGTTTCTCTTTGGCACTGTCTTTGTGGAGGTAGGTGGCGCACCACTTCACATCAAACCTCAGCTCTCTCCACGCGTGTTCCAGCTTAAACTTAAACCCCTGGTCAGCGTTGAATATATCCAACGCAGCACTCATCACATCATTCTCACTTTGGCCACTTTTCGGGTCCCTAAGTAAAGTTTCGTAGCAGCCAAAAAACTTACACACTAAATCATTGATCCTAGCCCACCTCTGTTTGCATTGCCCTAGTTCTCTAGGCACGGTGCCAACAAGGAGAGGACTGGAATTGTAATATTCAACAATCCTCTTCCAGAAGGCACGGCCTTTCTGTTGGTTACTCACTACAGCGTCTTTGCTTGTGTTGAGTCAAGCACCGATGAGGATTTTATCCTCCATCGGTGTCCATTTCCTCCTCTCTTTGCCAGAAGACTCTTTTGGACATTGGCTACTAAAGGAGAGAGGAGACGATGACTCAAGGTCAATGGGTCCTTGGCTGGCTAAAAGACTGACAAAGCTAGATGAGGAAGCCATTTTCTAAGGAAGCTCTATGTTTGGGTAGTAGATACAATGGGATTAAGAAACGAGGAGGATTAAATAACCACATTCTATTTAATTTTGTAGAAATCCGTCTAATCAAAACAGCTCGCGGCCATTTATTGAAGTGGTTAGATTCTATTTAATGGATGCTTTTGAACTAGATTTTTAAGTTAGAAGTAACTACAAAGGCAGCTAAAGCAACTATTAGATTTTTAAGTTAGAATTTTATTTAATTTTTAAGTTAGAATTTCAGTTAGATTTCCAAGTTACAATTTCATTTAGATTTTTAAGTTACAATTCCATTTAGATTTTTAAGTTAGAACAAACAACAAAGACAACTAAAGCAACTAGATTCTTATGTTAGAACGAACTACTAACCTCAACAGACTCTCTCGAGTTCAGCCACACGCGCAAAGAGCCTCTGCACCTGCTCCTGAAAAGACAACATCAAGTAATTAGTCCCCTGTTGTACCACTGCAAAAGTCCTAAACTTAATATCAACACTTCACAACATGAACTCATCACTCACCTTAAGTGTCTGGCACTCTCGCAGAACCTTCTCCTGTGGGTGATACCATTCTTTGAGCCTCTCAACTTCTTCATGAATAGCATTCACCCATGGTTGTCTGAAATGTAAACCGTCGTTCTGCCAAAAACACAAAAAAATATATGAAATTGAAAACAAGACCAAAAACAAGAAAGACTATATGTAATTCAATACATACCGTGAACTGTGTGCAGACGAAATATCTCTTCCCCACGAAGTAATCGTATGTGTCTTCTTCTTCAACGGTCTCCTTCGTAATTGCTCCACATGGGCACAGCTTTGGAATCCCAAATTGTGCTTCTGAAACCAAGTGGAGCATGTTGTAGTAGTCCATGTGTGCTTTCTGATCTCGAAGTTCTTCCTCCATGTTATGGACCTGCAAGCAAAAACACCTAATGATATTAGCTATTATACAACCTTATTTAACCCTATGCATATTAAACGGCAATAGAGACATAAAACAAGGAATAAACGACTCAAGATGATTAGAATATCAATCGTAGACGAAATCCCTAATTTGAAAAAAATTCCCAAATCGATTACAAACCCTATCTCTTTAAAATCCGAAGATAGAACCCTAAAACAACCAATAATCGAAGCGAGAGACAGAACATATCAACATAGACGAAAACCCTAAATCTGGAAAAATTCCCAAATCGATTACAAACCCTAAATCTTTCAAAATCCGAAAATCGAACACTAAAACAACAAATAATCAAAGCCAGAGACAGAACTTATCAACCATAGAAGAAAACCCTAAATCTGGAAAAAACCCTAATCGATTTTTTACTTTCAATCGAGTATAACCCACCGATATAACCCCAAAACACACTAAATATACATGCAGAGACTCGAGATGCAAAAAAATCGAGGTTAAAAAACCTCCGATTTACCTTCACGGTTTCGAAATCGGCGAATCGCCTTCGATGTCGCGAGAGAGAGAAAAGGGTTTTTTTTTTACTCGAGAGAAAGAATGAATAATTTCGAGCCAACCCCCAAAACTCATCGCACACGCGAGCCTACCAACGACCGCCACGTGTTTAAGGATTGGGTCCTTCGGATCCTTGTTTACGGATCAATCCTTCCGTGGATCATGAACTTTATTATTAAAAAATGCCCAACAACATATGTTTCCGCGCCAAGGATTGGTCTTGGACCTCCATTGGACCTGCTCTAAGATTCGAGAGCATACACTAAAGAATATTTGTTTGACAACCAAAAGCTCCCGCCAAAAAAGCACTGCGCAGTTGCCGAGATAGACCCCAAAGAAATTTCCAAACTTTTCACTTTTTTGTTATGTTTGAGGTCAAAATTAAAACGGCCAAAACTCTTCTAAGACAATGCAGTGGAGAAGTAAAAATGAAAATCCAAGGAAGAAATCAAAATAATGACTACAACAGAAGGCAGACAATATAAGATTACAATGCATATGTTTCTCTATAAGACTAACAGATCAACATACATAATATTGTCACATCCACTACTAAAGATGGAGATAATATATAGAAAAGACAGGATGATGTCACAAATATGTTACTTGTAATAACGATCCAGTGTTTCGTGGCTCCAATACAGTCTAACTATTCCCTCTCATAAAGCAAAAAAACAAGAAGAAGGAATTTGCGGGGAGCTCAATGTGAGAAGCAAAATCAAACTCTAATTTCATTTCAACATGAGCATAATATGGGGCATAACGGGAATAAGGAGGAGAATAAAGACAACGATGAAGAGAATGATGGCGTAACAAGTCCACTTCCTCGAGCTCTTTTGATACTCCCTCGCGTCTTGGAGCTGATCAGTCCCTCTTCTCACAAACGAGCTAGCCTTTGCCACATGGCTCTCTATATTGTTCAGTTGTTGCCCTTGCGCTTCCACTAGAGCAGCCATATCCAAGAAAACTTGATGCAATTCCAATAGATTCTTCTCAATCTCCTTCACTGCATCATGTCTTTCTTGGATTTCAGATATCGTGTCCATGATCTGACCTCTCCCTTGCTCTTGAATCGCTTTTTGGAGAAAATTTTCACTCTCACCGCTCGCTATCAAGTTATCAATTGTTTGCTCGTCCGCTTTTTCTCCTGTTATTGTGAAATACCTACACAAATTCCAACAAAAGTCACAAACAGAGCAATAGATTGCGACACAAGAAAACCTTAAAAGAGGAAAGACCTGCGCTCTACGGTTTCCTTATATTCATCGTTCATTCTCGCACGTAGACTTTGGAAACTATCCATCAAGTCCTTGAGCTTCTTCCCGAGACCGCTAACCACAGAAGACCGAGTCCTATCCGTAGATGAACCGGGCCCACAACCAGGGACATTACGGCTATTAGCGTTGGCTTTCTCTAGGGCTTCGAGCTTCTGCTTAATCATTTTGACTCTCTTAAGAACCTGACCTACGTCAGCATCCATCTTGGCCCGTAGCTCCTTGACCTTCTTGGCGTTGTGCACGGTCTGACATTCTTCGTTAGAGTCTTGAAGCTTCTTGTAAAGAGTCTCGACACCTTTCATGTCATCTTTAACATTCTCTACGTCTTCGAAGAATTTGTCGAGGTTCATCGTTTCTTGACCTGCCTCAACATCGGTCATTTGAGCCTGGTTCCTCTTGAATGAATTTGAGAATAAGTCATTCATCTTTTCACTCTATTTTTTATGATCTTTCCTTTCCTCTGGTTTTTGATTAATTTATGTACAAATTCTTGTGTTTTTTTCTTTCTTTATTTTCAGTGGTTTTGTTCAAAAAGCAATAGACATAGACATCTTCTGTCTGAATACGAGGACGAAGATGCAATGGTCTTTTATTTTTATTTTGTGTTTTATGAGTGAAAAAAAAGAAAAGAAAAGAAAAGCTTAAGTTTTGTTGGGAGGTTTATTTTGTTAACGTTAGAAGGAGAGTCACAAGCAGTTTTGGTAATTCTCTAAAATTAGCTAATGGCAGAACTTTGTTCTCAAACCACAAATTAGCTCAGTTTAATCAAAAAGACGCTAATATCCTTTTAATGGGCCGAACTTAAAGCCCAATTAAAAGTCTCATCTCTTTCTTCTTCTTCCAAGACTCTTTGGTTTTAATTAAAACCTAAAACCCTAATTTCCTTTAAACTCGAATCGCTCCGTCTCCGATCTCGCGATGAACGTAGACGATGAAGGTTCGGCGGGGCCATTGGCTCCACCGACGAGAGCTAAGCATATCGGGAAGAGATCTCTAAAGAACAAAAGCGTAACCGTCTCTTTTGATGAGAAAGATCTCAGGTATCGTTAAAAAATTTCTAATTTTTCGATCACGATACTCAATCTGGGAATCTCTAATCGCTATTTTGTTCGGGAAATTAGGGATTTTGTGACTGGGTTTCACAAGAGGAAGAAGAAAAGGAGAAAGGAAGCTCAGAAGCAGCAAGAGGAGTCTTTGAGACAGAAACGTATCGAGGCTCGTAAGAAGGTGAGGAGTGGGTTTTAAACTTTTAACTTCTCAATTGAATCCTCGTGTTATCGATTAGGTTATAACATGGAACTTGTTCTGAATCATTTTGATGAAAGTTTGAGTTTTTATTTATTTTTTCTAAACCTTATCTACTGTTTATGATATGTTGAAGTCTTGAAGAGATTGTTTGGTGTTTAATTATTTGTATTATGTTGATTATGATTTTTGGTTTTGTTTCTTGCTGTTCTGAAACTTTTGTATTCTGAGGTTTGCAGAGGAAGTTGGATGAGATGATGGTTGCTGGTCTTGGTGAGGAAACTGAAGACTTAGAAGCTGAGAAGAAAGAGGCAGAGCCTGATGCTTTAACTTCTGGTAAATTTCTCCTAATCAGTTTAGTTTTCTAAATGAATAATTGTCACTTTTTTTTTTGTTTGTGGAAGAGATTTCTACATTTTGGTATGATTTTTTTTTTTTGTGCTTTGACTGGTTATGTTCTGATGATTGTTGTGTTTTCTTTGTGGGTGAAAGGGACGACAATGTATGATACAGGGGAGCTGAAAGTAACTGTGACAACAAGCGAGATATCTCGCGAAGAGGATGAGCCTGTTCGCAGGGAAAAGAGACAAACAACAGAATCCGATTCTACGGCCAAAGCTTCCACATCACAGCCGGCGCCTTTGAGGAAATCAAAGCCCTCTAAGCAGAAAAGGCACAAGTCAAGCACCAAAACTATGAAGAAAAGGGATAAGAAGAAACAAGCAAGAGGGATCAAGAGTACTCGTTAGTTATAAGAGGGATTTTTGTGTTTGTTTCTTTTGATAATTCAATGTTTTTTGGAGCTTCTCATTATGAAAATTCGTGTACCTTTTAGTAACGAGAACATTTGTCAATCACATTATGTTTACGAAGCACTTGAAAGAACTACGAAGAAAAGAGAAGAAGAAACAAGAAAGAGGAGAAGAAAGAGGAGAGCTATAGAAATTTCTGTTGTGTCCTTTGATAGCGAAGCTTTTTGAAACGTTTGGATCTTTTGCTGCGGTTGAAACAATTGGTTAATGTCGAAACATGTACTCCATTTAATAATCACATTTTGTTAATCAAATTCGTAATGTTTCAAGAGCTTGTCAGAAATTCTCACTAGACAGTTTGGTTTGAATGGTAACCACTAGAGCTGAAGGTTAATTGCTGCGGTGGAAGCTCCTGCTTTAGTTACTTTTATTAGGCATCATCATCATAAGTTGCTGCGCATACATTTTAAGTTCTTTTTTTTTGTTATTCGTATAGAAATGTTAAAGGGCAACACTAATCAAAGAGCTCCTTAACCTCCATCTAATTATGGCAGAGCTAGGGACAGGAAAGATATTTTAAACCCCCGTCAGGTCAGCTTTCCGTGAATGACGGTCCGATATATGCCACCGTTGAGAATTGAGACTTGACCTTGGCCACTTCTTAGTAAGGAAATACACATATAATGAAAATGTCTGATCCAATAATTATTGCTGAGAAAACGCCTTTGATTTATCATTTATCTAAAGTTGAAGATCTTTATTCATTTCATCCGTAGTGTAATAGAGTCCAAAATAGAGAATTTTAATGATGAAACCACAAAATCGTCAATCACTTTCGTTAGTTAGAGTATGATTGGCAAGTGCTTTAGAAGTGCCGTAGAAACTTTCTACAGCCCAAATTATTTTTAAAGCAAATTTTTTTTCCAATCATACTTTATAAAGATTTTTTAAAGCCACAGATTTTTTTTTTCCTTTTTGTTTAGTTTTGGATATGGAAAACACTATACCTAGAACATTTATTTTTTACTTTAGAAATTTATATGTAAATGATTAAATCTTTTTAAATCTACAACCAAAATCTTACAGCTAAATTATTTACAGCCACAGCAAAAAAATCTACAGCTATAATTCTATAGCAAAAGTTATAAAGCTACAGTTCATTCCAATCAACCTCTTAGTTTCCCATGCGTGTTCAGAGTATCGATCATTAGTTTTGTGTTGAATTTGGATTTAGAACAAAAACCTAATCAATTTACAATTAACAGTTATTTGTGTATACTGAAGCTAAAATCCATGCATGCCTTTATTCATTTTGTTTATTTATTTATTTATTTTGGCGTAGGCTTATTTTAAGAAAAATATGTTATAGTGAAAATATGGACCAAGGAAATGAAAGTATGGACCAATAATAAAAGTGAAACGTTGAACCAAATTTGTGGTTTATACGTGTAACCCTAACAAAAAAATACGTCTTAATGGATGTGTCTTAGTTTGTATCATACAATTATCTTGATTACTAAATGGCTACACACACAAAAAGAAAAAGAAATATAAAAGCAACACGAGAGGCATACATACACTATCACGTTTCGTTGGCTCGTTGCAAATGGATGTACCTATGTAGCATCGAGAGTGAGACGAGGAATCCCATTAAATACAAGGTCACTTAAGTTCATCACCAACAAAAAGAAGTCATGATAAGTTAAGTTGCCTAAGCCCTTTTTCAAAAAAAAAAGTTAAGTTGCCATAACACAGTTGCAGTGTTTGGTTAAGTTTCTTATTACAACATTTTAGAGATTGCAGAACTGACACGTGACATCTTGTTCTGTTGTCCACTAGCTGCACGTAGGCAAAAAAAAGTCATGCGCTAGTAATAACACAAAAATATGTAGAAGGCCACGTCTTACAAAGGATGTCACCTAACTATTTTCATTGCCTTAATGAATCCCAACCGTCCATTTTCCTGTTCTTTAGATCCAACGGTGTTTATAGAACAATAGCCTAAGCTTCCCATAAACCCCATGCACCTATATAACATCAAAAGTCTATAGATGGGGAGAAGCGCAAATAGGAAAAATGGCTTCGCCGATGATTACGATAAAGATGGCAGTAATCGTCGCTATGTTTTTGTTTGTAAAGTCTTTTGTTCCTATCGTTGTAGAATTCTACTTATATCGATTTCCAAACCTATGGAGTTCATTGCTCTCGTGGCTGAAACCACCTTACCTCTTCATCATCATCAACGTTATAATTGTTACAACGATTGTAGCTTCTTCCAAGTACTTCCAAACCACTACTGGTGACCTAGATTGTGAGGAGAAGGGATTTGAAATGAATGAAATGGATGGATCTTTCGTGGCCATATTTCCACTTGTCACGGATGTGGAGAAGGAGGATGACGAAGCAGAGACTGAGAAGCCGCTGGTTTTGGCAAGATTCAGCCACCGTAAACCGGTTAAAGTTACTTCAAAAGGTAACAAAAGGAAGGAACCAAATCGGCCCGAGAACATGCGAAAGATGATGGTAACAGAGGAACTAAACTCAACACCGTTCACTACAAGAAAAGGAAGTGGTATCCGAGGGCCATATTAAACGGAAGTTTGTCGGGAATATGCGTTACCGATGGTTTCCCGAGGATTAAAATTTCGTCGGCGTTTGGGTCTCGGAAATACTCATTTCTCGGAAATTTCTCGATAAGTTCCGATAGCAATTGTTGTCGGAAATATTTAACGGAAAACCATCGGAACAT